TGTGTGTGTGTGTGTTTAAAGCTGTGCTTCTTCAGGGTTCAACATACAAGTGATTTTCCATGCATATTCTGAATGCGAGACTCGATAGCTGCTTCCTTTCAGTTCATGACTGAATTTGAATTGAAATGTCTATTTCACACAAGATGCTGGAATTGGAATGACGGAAAGAATTTTCTTGAATTAAAAATTTACAGAAGCGCTGTCAATATATAAAAATAATTGTTTATCAAATATATCAAAAGTACAGTAAAAACAGTAATATTGTGAAATATTATTCCAAGGTAAAACAGCTGTTTTCTATGTGAATCTCTGTTAAACTGTAATTTATTTCTGTGATCTGCAGCTGTATTTTCAGCATCATTACTCCAGTCTTCAGTGTCACATGATCTTCAGAAATCATTCTAATATGCTGATTTGCTGCTCAACAAACATTTCTGATTATTATCAATGTTGAAAACAGTCGTGCTGCACAATATTTTTGTGGAAACTGATGCATTTTATTTTTCAGGATTCACAGATGAATATAAAGCTCAAAAGAACAGCATTTATTTGAAATAGAAATCGTTTGTAACATTTTAAATGTCTTTACTGACACTTTTGAGCAATTTAATGCTATATTGTATTATATAGACTATATATTTGATAGAAGATTTTAGAATCTTAGATAAAAGTTTTATTTAAAATATATAAACTAAGTACAAGTTATATCATTTCAAACATTATCATAATTTGTCTACAAATATCATGATAACATGTTTATGGGTAATTCATACTGAAGAATGAAATGTTATTAAATACCAAACTTTTTTTGGAAATTCTTTGAATTTCACTCCAATTCTCTATCCTGTTTGCTAACATCAATTCAAATTGTTGAATATTCTATGCATTGCATACTGTGTATTCAGTACACACACATATATATTAAATTGCATGGAATTGTCTCTACTCAGCCTGACTGCATGTGTTTATATGCTTCTTATATATAAGCTCATGTTTTTCTTTAAATCTGGCACAGACTGGGAGGCCAGGATAGACAGTCACGGCCGTGTTTTCTACGTGGATCATGTGAACCGCACCACCACGTGGCAGAGGCCCAGCCATGCAGCCAAATGCAGCGGCATCCGGAGATCCAATATTTCACAATATTTTAAAGCACATAAATGCAGCCTTAGTGAGCAAAGCAGATATTTTATTTTATTTTTAAAAATACACATATATATATATATATTGACCTCAAGCTTCAAACTTTTGAATGGTAGTAGCAACATTTGAATGATTAATTGTTGGTCATTTTGAAATACCGTGCAAGTAATTCAAATTATCAAAAAGAAAACAAGCCTTTCCTAAAATGCTGAGTTTATGAATATTACTTTAGGCAAACAGAGACTCTTCTCTGCTCTGACCTCACTGTCACAATGCAAGAAAAAGCTACAAAGGTTGAAAAAACAACATGATGGCCTTCATAAGTTTTCTTCATTTCATGATGTACTGTATAAACAGCACATTGTTTTGCATCAAGAACGATGATAATTTGAGCATGATGGTTTTGTCACCAGGTATCAGAACATCCAGAGGACGATGGCCACAGAAGATGAACCGGCTGCTCGTGTATCTGAGAGAAACAGCGGAGGAGACACAGATAGTGAATCCACACCACAAGCTGCAGGTGGGCCTTTCTTTCAGATGCTGTTTGATGAAAATAAACTTTTGAGTTTTGAGCAGAAGAGGTGTTAGCAGACAAGCTGCCAGAGAACAGATTAGGTGTCATAGATCTTTAGTTTCAAGTTAAAATGTATGTATTTCCATTTATAATTCAACCAGAAGGTGAAATACTTGTAGAAACCGATAGACCCAAAATAAGTGATTTTATAAACTCCAACTTGGATGCATTTATTTATTAGTAATTCTTTACTGTTCCAAGCTTAAAGGAATAGTTGACCCAGAAATGCTGAAATTGCTGACTATGCACTCATTCTCACGTCATCAGAGATGTAGATGAGTTTGTTTCTTCATCAGGTTTGTAGAAATGTAGCATTGCATCAGTGTCTCAGCAATGGATGCTCTGCAGTGAATGGGTGCCGTCAGAATGAGAGTCCAAACAGCTGATAAAAACATCACAATAATCCACAAGTAAAAAGTGAAAAAGTGCATCTGCTGTTGTCTCTCGCATCAAAATCCAGTCACATATGTGTTTAGAGCTGTTTAAACACTGCTTGATCTGTGCAGATTTCCCTCCTGATTCACACCAGAACACTTTTTCACTGGAGGAAGAGTTATTATGGATTATGGACTCAATGTATTTTAGTTAAAAGCATCTTAATGCTGGATTTGTTTCAGCTTTTGTCTTCTCCAGATGTTAACTGATGGACTGGAGTGTTGTGGATTACTTGTGGATTATTGTGATGTTTTTATCAGCTGTTTGGACTCTCATTCTGACGGCACCCATTCACTGCAGAGCATCCATTGCTGAGGGTTGAATACATTTTCAGCAAATTTTCATTTTCGGCTGAACTATTCCTTTAAATAAGACATTATTTGTGTCTGTAATGTCTGTAGATCAGCGAAGGGAAGGTCCTTCATCTCCTGTGAATAATCAGAGCGTCACGCTGCTGCTCCAGTCTCCAGCCGTGAAGTTTGTGGCGCACCCAGAATTCTTCACTGTCCTCCATGCTAACTACGTAAGTCACAATGAGAAGTTTTCATGTGTATTCTTGTGGTTTGTCCTGCAGAAAGCGGATTCAAACCATTTGTAGCCAGTGCACTGAATTCACTCAAATGAAAGTGGCTTTATTTGCTTCAGTGAATGCAGACACAGGAGTGCTGTGAGGATGCTACTGCGATCAGTTCAGCGCTCGTGAACGGACACTGTTCAAGATTGCACTTTAGTTGAAGCGTGATATTGATTGAACTATTTGCAGATACCTTCTTTATTGATCCCATAAGCACTCCTGCTGCCCTGCAATAGCAAAGCAGACAGATAACAGACATTAACAAGTCAAAGATAAAGCATGCGGAGACAGGAGTGCATCTGTGGGAGCGGATGTTTGTGTTCGAGTGCCTATACACTTCTTCACAATATGGGACAAATGTTTTTTGTTGTTGTTTTTCTGTGTCTGTGTTGTGCTCTTTATTCTGTTTCAAGTTATTTCATGCAGGTCACATACACAGACCTCACTCGCAAAAATACATGGCATTGATTGAATATTCATGATTGTACTGAAGTCTCTCTGTGTGTGTGTTCAGTTTGATAACACCGGATTACTCACTATATCAGATCAGATGCACATTTACAAGAATATGCATTAATCTGATTGTCATAATCAGACTGAGACAATATTCTAGTTCCTAAAACACAAATATGACAGAATTGTGGGCTGAGTAAAAACCTTTGCAACAAAGCATTTGGAACAAAACATAAAAACACAAACACACACAAACTCTTACACACACTCACTCACTCATACACACACACACACACACACACACTCACACACACACACACACAAACTCTTACCAGGGTGCGTATCGGATGTTTACTAACAGTACCTGCCTGAAGCACATGATTCTGAAAATACGGCGAGATGCTCTCAACTTTGAGCGATATCAACACAACCGCGACTTCGTCACTTTCCTCAACAAATTCGCCGATACTCAGCTGGAGCTCCCGAGAGGCTGGGAGATCAAGACAGACCCGCAGGGCAAGGTGAGCTGCTCCAGACATACACAACCACTGCTTCAGAACGGCTTCATACACACAACCACTGCTCCCCATCGATGAGCAGCTGCGTACTTATGGAAAATAATAACGGGTAGACTAGCATAACGTAAAACTGCTTTAGTGTTTACATTCAGATTAATGACATGTTTGTGTGTGATCTTTTGCTGTGGTAGTCGTTCTTTGTGGACCACAACAGTCGTGCGACGACCTTCATCGACCCCAGGATTCCCCTTCAGAACGGACGTCTGCCGAATCACCTCACACACAGACAACACTTACAGAGACTGCGCAGCTACAGCGCCGGAGAGGTGCAGCACACACACACACACACACACACACACTCACACACACACACAGACACACACACATGCAAATGCTCTCAGATTTCAAGCCATGACTGTAATTTTGCTGATGTTATGTGTTGTGTCTCAGGCATCAGAAGTGTCCCGAAACAGAGGAGCGTCTCTGCTCAGCAGACCTGGAAACGGTTTAATATCAGCTGTCAGGAATCAATACCAGCCCGATTCAGTGCCTCTAGGTCAGTCAAACCTACAGAATCAAAGAAAAAAACTATACTAAAAAATACTTTTATTCATCAGTGACACATTCAATTGATGGAAAGTGACAGTAAAGACATGTATAATGTTACAGAAGATTTCTATTTCAAATAAATGCTGTTCTTCTGAACTTTCTATTCATCTGTTAATCCTGAAAAATAAAATGTATTTCCACAAAAATATTGTGCAGCACAACTGTGTTCAACATTGATAATAATCAGAAATGTTTCTTGAGCAGCAAATCAGCATATTAGAATGATTTCTGAAGATCATGTGACACTGAAGACTGGAGTAATGATGCTGAAAATACAGCTGCGCATCACAGAAATACATTACAGTTTAACAGAGATTCACATAGAACACAGCTGTTTTACACTGTAATAATATTTCACAATATTACTGTTTTTACTGTACCTTTTGACCATATTATTGTTTGTGCTCTACCTATTTTGGAGTCTCCATAATACAGTCTCATGCGTTCAATATGAACTTTCAATCATTCTTTATTATGCTTTCGTCTGTTTTCTTGACCCTCAGCTTACAATGATAAAATTGTGGCTTTCCTGCGGCAACCGAACATACTGGACCTGCTGCAGGAACGACAGCCGAGTCTCGCCAGGAATCACACACTCAGGTGAGCCGGCTCTCATCATCAGTAGTGTTGGATTATTAAATTAGAGTTCCTCAAGCACACATGTTTTTGTTATATATGTCATGCTAAATGACAGTGAGCAGAAGATGACAGTCGTTTAATGCCAAGCAAAAACTGTTGCATTCTGGGAGTTTATTCTGGGAGTACAGAGATACATAAATCCATTATGACTCATTTAAGTGGAACCAGTGCTATTATTGTCATCAAAAAACTAATAAAAATGATTGCTGTTAATATAAATAAAGATTATATAAATTAAATATAAATATTAAATGAAAAAAATGTAACTTGGAAAAACTGAAATAAAAATTAGAAATGATGCCTTGGCCACTAACAGAAATAAAATGAGTTAAAGTTACTAGGATTTCTATAACTAAAAACTGAAATAAAGCTGATAAAAAAATTAAATACAAATATTAGATGGCACACATTAAATGAAAATTCAATGAATGAATGAAAATTATAAATGTTGCCTTGACCACTGACAGAAACAAAATATGTACTAAAATTACTAAAACAAAAAGTTGAAAAAAATAAATAAATAAATTGCTCAATTGAAATATAAAATAAACTAATAAAAATGGCGAAAACACATGTCAAAATTAAACAAAATAAATATGTAAATAAAATGTAAATATTAGTTGAAAAAATAAAAAAAAATAAAATAAAATAAAAAATAAAAACGATAATGAAAATTAGAAATGTTGGCTGCTAACTGAAATAAAATAAAACTAAAACTGAAATATAAATATATTAAAGCTAAATAGGAATATTAACAGCAATGAAATGTATCCTTTGCAACTAATGAAATAAAATAAGTTAATTGAAGTATTAAAATTACTAAAACTGAAAAAAAAAGATTCTAATAAAAATGACAAAATCAGAATTACATATCAGAATTATTAATTGAAGTAACAAAATTACTAAAACTTAAACTAAAATTAAAATGAAATCTGAAAATATAAAAATAAAAGCCAATTCAAAATATGAATAAATACTATAAATGCTAAAATATCACTGAGTTACGACTAACATTGGAGTGTTAAGCTCATATAGCAATAGAGTTACAGTCTGACACAATAAAGCTGCATGAAACATTCTTAATGCATGTAGAAAACAAAGTTTGTGTCAGTGAATCAGAATTTAACTGTTAACTGTGCATTAACAGTGGCACTAATGCAGCGCGCCAAGCATTCCTGAATCTGCTCTATGATTCTATTAAACTAGTGACGTGCTTTACTGTTACTCTTAAAAACAATTAACATTCCATTTGTTCAGACCTTTTAAAAGCTACTCAGTGTGGAAATGTGAGATTGTGTGGATGTTTACGTGCTCCGTGCATGCTTTCTTTCAGGGAGAAAATCCATTACATCAGAACTGAAGGTCCTCAGGGCGTTGAAAAGCTGTCCTGTGACGCAGACCTGGTCATGCTGTTAAGGTACAGTGACAATTTACTAACAATTTAAACTAAATGTTCTGTTTTTATGAATATTTATACTATATTTAGCTATTCTTTGTATCTATTTTATTATAATTTTGTATTCATTTTTGACATGTTTAATTTTTATTAATTATGCAATATTTAAAAATAAATACAAATATAAAAACATGTTTTTGCATGCGTTCTAATATTTTTTCCTCTCTGTCATTCAGTCTTTTTGATGAGGAGATCATGTCGTATATTCCATCTCACTCTTTCCACCCCGGCCTCAGCTTCTCTCCACGCTGCTCTCCCGGATCCTCGCCTCAGAGTTCACCGGGTATGATCATATTACTATTTAAAAGCAAGACTTTCATCATTGGGTTTGTTTAGGCTGATTTAGTTGGACAAAAACGATTCCCCTAGTTTAGCTTTGAAACTACTGCTAGTTCTAGCAACCAACAAAAATCAGCTGTGTATTCAAGATGAGGAATCAGTATTTTTGGTCTGTTTTCACCAAACAGAAAGACTATACAAGTGCTTTTAGAAAACTTTTAGAATAACACAAGCAGATAGAGTGCATCAAAGCTAAAAGACGTGAATTAAAAGCTACAAATGGACAACTATTTCAAATGCTGAAGACACGATCTAACTGTGTTGTTTACCCAGATTATTATCGTAGGATCTTATAGAACATGCTCAGTAACAAACATCCACATACTGACTTCTAAGGCTTTCTTTAAAAAGTCTGTGGAAACATGAGCCGGTCTCTTGTGTGTAGCGCCGCTTGCCAAAACCCAGCAAAGCCTTTTCCTTATAACGCAGCGAGAGCAATCACTCCCCGCATCAGTTCTTCAGTGTGCTTGCGGTTGCAATCTGGCCAGTCTGCCACTTCCCTCATGTTTAAACAAATCACAGGTCATTCCTCGCGTCAGGACGGTTCTTTCAGAACCTGTTCGGCACGCTTGTGATAGCTAGTGCTTGATGAGAAACTCAGAGTATAAGTCTAATTATTTCACAGCATGGTGCTGACATCCCTGCTCCATTTGCTTTGTTGTTTCACATTGAGGCACCCAGAAATGTATTAAATGTAGCTTTTCTTTGGCTTTTGCCCACTTGTATTTCATTTGAATATATTGTATGACATTTTCAAATAAGGAAATGTTCAAATATAGACCAGTGTGTAATTATATGCAGCGGTATTATATATTTTGACAGGCTTGCAGAGGGCCAGAGCGCCTGCTCCGTACCGCAGAGACTTTGAGGCAAAGCTTCGCAATTTTTACAGGAAGCTGGAGGCTAAAGGCTACGGCCAGGGACCAGGAAAAATCAAGTAAGTGTGTTATCATAAGTTATAAGTGCATTATCCTGTGCAATGAAGACTGCCGCGATTGTCTGTAGCGCATGTTTTTTTCCTGCACTAAGCTTGGTTTTTCCAAAATGTGCCCAGATCTCGGATTTAAAAATAGTGGGTGTGACAAGAGCATATGCAAATAACGTCAGTACACTGTAAAAACTGAAAACTATTGTAAAAATGCTACCGAAAAAAAAAAAACTGTTAATAGGTTAACAGTAAGTTCCCGTACTATATAGAGGGAAAAACTGTAAAAGATTTAACCAGACATTTCATGTCATTTTATAATAAAATGCTGTTAATTGTACAATTTTTAGAAGTAAAAAAGAACAAATCAACGTATAATTTACAGTAAAAAACTGTATTTTGTTTAAATAATCATGTTTCTTAATAGTTTTGTCATCAGTTATGTACATTTGGGTTTATGTTACATCTTCTGTTGATTAATGAATGTTTATTGCATTATTTAAGTGTCATGTGTGTTACCGTGATGGTGTTTAGTGTTTGTGTGAATGCACCTTCTGTTAGTATATACTCCAGCTTGTGGAAAAGCTACTTGTGATGAACTGATTCGTCATATTGCTGTCTCTTTTACCAACTGCATTATTGTGGTGGTTGTCAACATTTGTTAAAGATACAAAACAGATTTTAGTGGCAGTGTGCATTGTTGAATTTACTACTTTACACTCAAATTCTCTTGTTTGTAAATTACAGTTTATACTGAAAAATTTACAGTTTGTACTGTAAATGTTTTTACAGTTTTTCTGTATTTTTTACAAAATTATTCTGGCAACCACAGCTGCCAAAATTATTTTGTTAAAACTACAGATTTTGTTTACAGTGTAGGCTATAATCGATTATGGTCTATTACTGCATCGATGCAACGATTAATTTCAACACCCCTAATAGATAGATAGATAGATAGATAGATAGATAGATAGATAGATTTGACATTTTACATTTTGATTTGGTTTAATTTTGTGTTGCTATTAAGGCTCATCATCAGAAGGGAACATCTACTGGAGGGCACCTTTAATCAAGTAATGGCCTACTCACGCAAAGAGCTCCAGAGAAACAAGCTCTTCATCACCTTTGTAGGAGAGGAAGGGTCAGTCCACTGTGTTCTCATTCACATGCATGTTATTGCCAGACATACAAACCTAAATTTGGAATCTTAACTGATTTAAAATGTTGCGTTCATGTTCCCTATAGTTTGGATTACAGCGGCCCATCGCGGGAGTTCTTCTTCCTGTTGTCTCAGGAGCTGTTTAACCCCTACTACGGTCTGTTTGAGTACTCAGCCAATGACACGTATACGGTGCAGATCAGCCCCATGTCTGCATTTGTAGAGAACCATTTGGAATGGTGAGAGATCTTCCGTTTTCTACCTTACTATCTCTCTTTATCTCTAATTATTGCTGTTTGGAATGTTGGAATGTTTTTGAAGTTCAGCTTTGTAGTTCTCTGGTTGATGTGGCATGTGGTTGAGGAATCGCATGCCTTCTGCTCATAAGCGGTCACGCTACGTCTTTGTTTTGTCTCTTATTTCGGGATTTCGACTGCCTCTTGTTGAGTAAATTATAGAGTCACAAAACTAAATACAAAGACAAATTCTCAGCGTTTGCCTTGAACTTCATCCAAGGAGAGGACACGTCTCGTGAACGTCAGCTTTCAGATTCACAACTTTTAACTGAATTTAAATGCTGGCCAAAGTCACAATGTCTGACTTTCAAGCCCGATCCAGAAGGTAGAGAATTTTAAAAGCCTATAATTGGTTCAAAAACAGGATCTGTGTTATATTAGCATGTACAGAACATTATGACATGGATAAATGTTTTGCTGGACCCTCACAGGTTCCGTTTCAGTGGCCGTATTTTGGGTCTGGCTCTGATCCACCAGTATCTGTTGGATGCTTTCTTCACTCGACCGTTCTACAAGGCCCTGATCAGACTGTGAGTCTCAAAGCTTCTTTGCAGTGGAGATGACATCATAAAGTGAGTTTCGAATGATGGATTTTGATTGGATGTCTGTATTGTGTGGTCCGTAGAGTGACAGATCTGAGTGATTTGGAATACCTGGATGAGGAGTTCCACCAGAGCTTACAGTGGATGAAGGACAACGATATCACGGATATCCTGGATCTGACTTTTACAGTCAATGAGGAGGTCTTCGGACAGGTGCTGGATAATTCAGTCTGTTTTCAAACACCTTGAAGGAGGTTTTTTTAATCTATTATTTTGATAATAAATTAATCTAACAATTATAAGAACGATTAATCGACTAATCGTCAATTATTTCACAGATTAATCAGTAGCCTTTGATCAATTATTCAGTTTTTACAAAGTTAAAATATTGAGTTATACATATTCTATACATATAGAGCTGCTTTATAGCAGAATATGAAGTTGTAATTATAACTGAAAGCGACACTGACACTGTTTTTTCATGGTAAATACTGTAAAGCTGCTTGCTTTTGTGTAAAGTGCTATATAAACAGGGGTGCACATAAGTTTTTCAGCCTGGTTCTCAAAAGAGCACCTGGATATTTGGTTTGGACCTCACACTGCACATAGTGTGACCCATTAAATATAACTATAAAAAAAAAATAATAGTGATAATAATATTACTGCACTTTATTTAAAAAAAATAAATAATAATAAACAACATAATAAAGTGTGATAATACTATTATATTTTAATATAAAAAGGCATTATTAAATATTTATTATTAAATAATTGTATTTACTTTTTTATATATATGCATTTTCATCATTTTCAAAATTAAAATCAGCAAGCTTTTATTTTGGCGGGTTGCCGGCAAGTAAGTATATGCGCTGCCGAGTGAAGAGCGTCAGTGAATGAAATGTCACAGTTTTGCATTGTGCTTTGCATTTTCCGGCAGCAGATAACCTAGACTTATGTTTTCAGTTCGAATAGAAATCTTATAAGGTATTACATTTTGTCTAAAATTGTAATTGTGCATTAACAGCTGTCAACCATGTCGGTATGCAAATGAGCGATCTGAACTTATTTACACAGTGCAATTTATATTTTGGTCGCACATGCGCACCTGCGTACCACTTATGTGCACCCCTGTATATAAATAAACATAATGTGACTGCAGAGCTGCTTCAAACATATCCGCATCGCTATGATCAGATGCTTTATTAACTGCTGTTTTCCCACGCTGTCATTTTTTGTTTATTTTGTTAAAGGGGAAAGCATGCAGCATGCTTACATATTCATCTAAATGCCGCTCTCAGCAGATTCGAGGTGTTCGCAAACAGTAAATCCCTGCTTGCGTATATCAAACTTTTTTTTACCCCTAACAGAAGAACGAAAAATAACTTTGCCATCAGTATATCATAGCCTTTACAAATGACAACATTTTTTGTTTGCATTTTTTATAAAACTTTCCCACACTCTACTGGTTCAGCTTCATTTGCATGTCTCATAAGCATGTTTACTTCTATTAGATGTAGCGTCTGGACCACTCAAACACACAATATATATTTTGTTTTTATATTTAACAAATACTCTGTAACCCCCCTCAGTTAACAAGCCATATGAGGACCCATGAACCCTTCCCCCCGAATTGCGTAACACCCCAGGAAGCCGAACAGGCTCCTGGTTGCATGGCAACCAACGCTGATATCACTGGGTTTATTGGCCAAAAGAATGCAAAGCAGGGAAAATCCCTGCATGTCCCAGGGCAAGAGGCAGAGTAGAAATGGACTTTTCTACTAATCTTGCTCTACAGCGCCACAACCTGGTCAAACTGCGTTATTGCAGGCCCTTACATTAGGTCATATGAGATCAAACGACTATTCGACAACAAAAATATTTGTCGTTGTTGACGTTGTCGATAATGTCGACTAATCGTTTCAGCCCTAGTGTCTTAACAAAATACCAACAATAATAATGATGAATGATTAAGAAAATTGATGCTCAGGCATTACATATAGCAAGCCAAACCTGTTTACCAGTTTTCCACATTATACTAAATGTTGGAAAAGTTGGCACGTCGGGGTCACCAATGCAAACCAAGCCACGCTGTTTACACCAGTGTTTCGCAATTCCATTGCAACCACAACCACAACCACAATGGGAGCTCCAGGACCAGAGTTGGGAAACACTGGTTTACACTCGGGAGATCAACTCATCAATGGTTTACCTCAGGGGTGTCCAATCCTGCTCCTGGAGGCCCACCGTCCTGCAGAGTTGAGCTCCAACCTCAGTTAAACCCACCTGAACTAGCTAATCAGTGTCTTCAGGATCACTAGAAACTTCCAGGCAGGTGTGTTAGGATAAGTTGGATCTAAACTCTACAGAACGTTAGCCCTTTAGAAGCAGATTTGGACACGCCTGGCTTGGGATAAATATTTTAACATTACACACAACAACAAAAAAGTGGCTCAGGATGAATCCATGCTTTTTTAGGTGCCATGTCACTAATAATTGTAAACATTCTGGTGCGACAAAGGTTTGTACCAACCCTTAAAATGTTTCATGTCATTTGACAGGTGATAGAGAGGGAACTGAAGTCGGGAGGCTCCAATATCCAAGTGACGGAGAAGAACAAGAAGGAATACATTGAGCGCATGGCTAGATGGAGGGTGGAGAGGGGGGTTATGCAGCAGACCGAAGCCCTTGTAAGAGGCTTCTATGAGGTACGTTAGCTTGAATAGCAGTTTCACTAACACAGCGGTTTAGTTAAACAATTACTTACTAATCCGATTCAGGTGATTTGAATGTCATATATAAACTGTTCCTTTACAATGCAGGTTGTAGACTCCCGCCTGGTTTCAGTGTTCGATGCTCGTGAGCTGGAGTTGGTCATTGCAGGGACGGCCGAGATCGATTTGAACGACTGGAGATCCAACACAGAATATAGAGGAGGTGAGCGAATGCTTGCTTTGTCTTTAAAAATTCATGGCAGCTGCTGGGTAGTATTGTCAATTTTGCTGCAGAAATGATCAATGAATCATTCGTTACTGAAGTTAAATGCTCAAGTGGTCTTCATTAGTGAGTAGAAGCTTGATTGTTCAGGCTTAGCATTTGTTCCATGTGGAGTGGTCTCACTTTTCTTTCAGGTCCTCTGCTGTGAATTACTATGGAGGGTCAACAGGATTGTATCCCAGAGCTAATGCCAAAACAAGTATCCCATCTGTTTAGATTGCAGTTCATAACACTGAAAGCGTGACCCCTGTAGAATTTCATATAACCCTGTGGGGTTGTGGTTTCACGGTGTTGAGATAACCTCGGTTGAATCTCTGGAGTCTTCTGTTGACTTTTCCTGTACAGCCTATGCACATTCAGATACGCATTTTCTTTTCTTCTTATACTTTAGCTAATTTAAATAAGCTTGTTTTCTGCTCCCGATTGGCCACTTTCCTGCAGAGTTTAGCTCCAGCCTCAATAAAACACACCTGAACCAGCTAATCAAAGGGGGCTTTGGCACTCGAGGAACGTTTTCATAGTTCCTATATTGTAACTCTTGGTGGAATTACCTGCTTTTTGGCTTGTTTGCACCGCATGAACTGGGAATGATTTTAGTTATAAGAATGCCTTTTGGGGGAACTAAATTAGCCCCTACTTTAGAGTAGGGTCTAACTCAACACAATAGAAACTACCAGTGATGTAAGTGAATGTTGATTGGCTGAAGGCATGCCATACGAAACACCGGCACCTGCCGTGTAAACACGCAGTTTACATAAACTTACTCCACAAACTAACTCCATGAACATGGAGAGGCATCGATGCCGAAGTCCAGGCATTTCACCATCCTTCATCCTCCAGTTGTTGCAACCAGGAATATGGCCCTAGGGGAAAATTTAGATCTCAGGGACTGCCCTGGTAGCTACAGTAGTTCCTATAACTGAGTTCCTATAACTATCAGTTGCGAAAGCCCCTAAGATCTTGAGGATCACTAGAACTATGTCTGAAATCACCCCCTGTACCCTTTTATAGTGCACTTTTTGAGGGTTCAGCCATTTGAATTAGTGTCTGAAACCATATAGAGTGCACTTATTCAATTTGTATAATGCACTTCAATAATGAACGTACAACTGTACACTGAACTTGCACATTGTACACTGTACAGTTGATTCTGAACTGAATTCCACAGCGCTTCCAATTTTGTTCGCTTGTTTTCATTCACTCATTCAGTGTATTAAAGTGTAGTAATGTAGGGAACAGTGAATGAGGGAATAGGGGGCGAACCTAGAAACTTCCCGGCAGGTGTGTTGGAGCTAAACTCTGCAAGAAAGTGTCCTTCCCGGAGCAAGATTGGACATATTCCTGCTCTGTTGGAATCTCTTCTGCACTTCTCCTGAGGAGTTAGGATGCTACCTTCGAAATTAGCTGCCTGTGTAGGCAGTCGACAGCTTTCTATGTTTTAGACAGAGCCTCATAATGCACTGAACATCCACATGTTGGTGTTTAATTTCACAAGTCTCTCCATCACCCTCCAGGTTACCATGATGGGCACGTTGTGATTCGTAGTTTCTGGGATGCGGTGGAGCGCTTCAATAATGAGCAGAGGTTGCGCTTGCTGCAGTTCGTGACGGGAACGTCCAGTGTCCCCTACGAGGGTTTCGCAGCGCTCCGTGGGAGCAACGGCCTGCGGCGCTTCTGCATTGAAAAGTGGGGAAAGATTACCTCTCTACCAAGGTATACTGCTATAGATAACACTCTTTCTGCCTGCAGAATCACACATATCCCAAAGTAATGCTAAACACAGCTTTATATAACTCTTGATGACTTTTTAGTACTTGAGGAAGGCTAATTAATCAAGAGGGAAAGCTTTATGCTAGCTGAGGTAGAAAAATGTATCCAATTTACCAAGAATTGATTAGTATTTGTTAGGGATGCACCGATACCACTTTTTTCAGAACGAGTCCGATACCGCTCTCTCTCTCCTTACTGTCAAATAACTTTAGTAACTTGTGCATTGTTTTACTTACTTGCTTTTGACATATCCGACCGAACTACAAACTTTCCAGTGAGGTCTGTGAGATATTCACTCGACAAGCTCGCGCATCTGTGCTGCCGCGCGCTCAATCCACTCAGCGCGTATCGGTATCGGTGCATCCCTAGTATTTGTCTTTATTTTATTTTTTTATATGAATATATAGTGTTTTTTTTTCTCATTAATTTAAATTTCAGTTTTAGTTCTAGCTATTTTAGTACATCGGGTTTAACTAAATCAGGTGTTGCCTTGGCAACTGGCTGAATATAGAGTATATATATATATATATATATATATATATGTGTGTGTGTGTGTGGTAGTTTTAGTTAACTCTAATAACCCTGAAAAGACCCAATAAAACTGACAAATTAGCACAGTTTTCTTTTGTTGGTACTTCCTCCTGAAACAGGAAGCTGGTGTGGAACAGGACTCAGTAGCTTTAGTTAGTTAGCCTTGATAAACCATGAACGGCTAGTTGCTAATGCTAGTCACTGAAAGATACTATTAGGAGGAGGGGATATTCTCATTCTAGAGACAAAAAAAGTGTGATGTTATGAATATTTTTGGTGCATTTTCCCTAGAGAGGATATTTTAAATGTGCATATATTGCTGAAAGTTTGTTTGTCAACTTTTTGGAGCACATTACCATATAGATGGCTTGCATATGTGCTAGATTAGAGATGCTACACAGAAAGGCTCAGGATCTCAAAGACCTGGGCTGAATATTAAAAACCAAATGATTTTCTCTACCATTACACATTCATTTCATATTGCTCATGGTTTATATTTCATAGAATGAATATTATGTCTCATTTTATAACAAGAACAATCATGAGATTGAAGCAGGGCTTTGAGATCCTTACATTTCCATTTATATTTGATATCAAAACAGTCGTGAAATGAAAAACACAAGAGAGCAAAACGCAGAAATAATGGATGTATTTAGGACAACCCAAGCAGATTCTTTGTGTGAAGCTTGTTCAAATACTGTTTTGTTTACCTGCCATGGTTCTTCCACACTGTGCAATTCGATCACAACAGCAAAGAAACCGCCTTACTGTTTAGACTTGTAAATAAAGCTACCCGAGATGTGTCATCCAGAAAACCAACTGTTAGACTCAGAAGCTCAATTTGCGTCCAGTGGTTCACCTTGAAAATCATTTCTCTCTGTTCTGGCAAACAGAAGGGGCTGCGGATCAAAGCCTGGCGCCGTCAGCACTAAAGTACAGGCTCATATTTCTCTGACAGGGTGAGAACGGCTGGGAGTTTGTCATTGTGTGTGCACAGCGTCAGCAGCCAGAGCTAAATAAGGCCAATGTGATGGAAAGGATACAGATGCCTCACTCAGATACAGAATTTCACATGCTCTGCTGGGGAAAGCTGCGCTTTACAGCAAAGCGGCTCACAGAAGTGTAGAGCTCGTCTCACCTATTTAGTCTGAGGCCATGATAGAAGCTCCCTCCTGAACTTTGACCTCTGTATTTTCGTCTGCTGCAGGGCGCACACATGCTTCAACCGTCTGGATCTGCCTCCCTATCCGTCGTACCCTGTGCTGTATGAGAAACTTCTCACCGCTGTGGAGGAGACCAGCACCTTTGGTCTGGAGTGAAGAAGTGAGACTTGATTTTAAAATTTTTTTTTTACTGCGAAAACATTTTCAATAACTCAGTCCATGAGAGACTTTTTAAACTTCATCTGAGAATTTTGTTTAAAATAACTTGAAATAGCATGTTTCTGCACTAAAATCTAAGCTATGTAGTACTTTGTGGGAGTGTGGGGTCAGAAGCATCATGTATGCAATAGTGAAAACCTTGCATCCTACTCATGTTTGTCCTTGGCATCATCCTATTGGTTAGGCATCAGTACATCTCCTTTCTGATTGGATATTCCCTAAAAATGTGGTAAAGTGTGATTTTCAACACCTGGCTATGTTTGAAACGGAATACTAACATATTGCTTACTGAATATTGCACAGTATATACTGTACTTAATACTGCCCACATTTAAAGTTCTGTAGTATGTGAACCATATGCAACAAATAAACACTTCCAAGTGCAGTATGCAATGTAGTTGTCACACGACCTCGTTACACTGCATGTTTAAAAATTATGTGTCGCCCACTTTTCATATCAGAAATAAAAGTTGTTTTGCATTTTAATGTGTGAATGTTCACATAATAAGTCTAGTTTTGGTATTGCATTAAGTAGGCACATTGCATTATGGGATACAATAGTCTAGATATGTAAAACATCATCTAGGTGTTGTGTGCATACAGATAACATTTATGCTGTGCATGTTATGGATACTGCATAAATAGTATGAATAGTATGCTAGTATGCTATTCTGAACATAACCCCTGAGCAAACCTGAGTTTAGGAGGGATACATTAACAGCACATTTTCATTTTTGGGTGAACTGTCCCTTTAAATCAAAATAAAAAATGTTTAATAATTTCATGCTCATTTCATCGGCTGAACTCCAAACCACAGCAACTGTTTGCCTTTACATGATTCCGATGAACTGTTTCGCCTGATTTAATCACATGGCTCAAATACTGTTGAAAATGTCATTAAAAACGGATTATGTTTTTGGAGCAGAAATGGTTCAACTCAAGTTTGTCACCTCACTCTCAATAATATGAGCTCAAGCTTTAGATAGGAAGCACACTTGGAAGCTCACTTGATAGTGATGTAAGCCACTTCATTGTGTAACCAAATTAGTGACACTAACACTGAGCTCATCAGAACTTTCTGCCAGCAGCGTCCATGTGGCTACGTTATAAATAACTCTCTAACTGTTTAAACAATGCTTCTTAAAGCCAAAGCTGTTTTAGGTCACAGGGATGAGCTGCATTTAATAATGACACTGGCAATGGCATGATATTGGATTCATTCCTAGATTGGCATAAGTCCTCTTTTTCCCAGACATGTCCTGGACGGATTTTTTTAAATTGCCTACAATGTCTGGGTTTTGGCTTTATTTTCCTATTGACAATCTCTCTACAGTCCTCATACATTATATGTTATATTGCATTGCTTTGACTGTTGTCTGTAGATCCCGCCTTCTCGCACACCACGATTGGTTGATACGTGCAATGCCTGCATGCTATTGGTCAAACCACTTTTCAGTCATTGCCTTCAGCAAGTGTGAAACAAATATGAAAACAAAGCCAAAATGGACATTTAAGGCAATTTAGAAGTCAAGGGGGGGCGTATATCACCCAACTTGGTATATAATGTGTTTTGTTGTAAATTTGTGGGCGTTGCCACGGATAACAAATTTCAGACCCCACATCCACCTTGTATATTATACGTATGTCTTTATTAATTAAAATACATCTTTTTAAAGTTTTTAATTTATTTGTTTAATTTATTGATGCACATCTTCCATAGCGACAGTCACACAAATATAAGTTGGTTTGTCGCTCGTAACTGTAAAACTGTAAATGCAAACAGGCTTTGTCTTCTAATATTAATACAATTACTGTTCATAACCACAGATGACAAAACCAGATGCCCAGATTTTTTTATTATTCAGTATGAAGTATCTTAAGTGGTGTTTTTATGTCTTTATATTTGTATTTTTTGTTGGCCAAACGCCTCTCACCTCACCATCAAAAGAGAATTAGTTCATGGCTGGATCTTCACTGATGTTTAGCCAGGCCATCATTTAATGCATGCAGGCTCTTATGATGGTGTTTATCATTGTGTTGCATGTATTGTTTATTATTCCCCGGGGAATAAACATGTTCCCGATGACTCTGAACGCTTGTTGATGTCAACTCAAGCTTGTTTTATTTATCACTGACAGAACTTGTGAAATGACTATCTGACCATTTGCTGTACACTGTTCAGTTGATGATGATATAATGCATTTTTATCATTTTTATTTGTTGGCAGTTTTGTATTTTATATTCTTTTTGTATATGAGTTCAAGATAATGTGGCAAAAAAATGAAATTGCATATGAAAACCCTTTACTTGCCATGCAAACTGATGCAGATGTTAATGAAAATACACATGTAAATATAATTATGAACGTAAATTACTCTACATCAGCCTGATTTTCTGATGTCCATCTGTTCTACATGAACAGGCTTTGCTTTTCCCCAAATCCTTGTACATAAATGTCAATAAACAATCTCTTTGTAGTAGGTTGTATTAATTATGTTCACTTACTAAATATGGGGTTCACGTACACATTCATAAACACACAAGTTCACTCTCAGCCTTACACAGTCCAAACACTAGAGGGCCTCACAAGAATCTCTTCAATATGTGTGTGAATGTTTTGCTTCTCATGGGGAGATAAAACTATTTAAATATGCCCAGAATAAGAGCAGTCTTATAATAATAATCAGAAAAGGTTATTATCTTATTTTAATATAATCAGGGCTATATATATCTCAAATATATAATTATTTAATTAATTAATTGGTCACCTTTTATTGGTCAAATGTCACCGTCAAGGACCACCTCCTCCCGCCCACCGGCAAGTGCTTGATCGTAATTGGTGGAAAGCGGTGTCAATCACGCCCGTTGCCCCGGCAACTGAAGTCTGAGGAACAGCTTGAGCTTGGTTTTCAGTTGCGTCGGTGCGAGGAGAGCAGCAGTCAAACTCAAGCGCTTTTGCTCACTTACGAGGAGTTTTAATCGAAGATGAACAGTTCATATTTTAGACACGTTTAAATGTTAAGTCAAAATTCAGCGAGAGGAGCTGTTTTATTAGGTGAGGTAGCGTGATAGTATTCGTCGCACTGTATCAGCTCACCTGCAGGTAAAAACGGCTGTAGGTACAGCAATAAAACGAATTGACGTTAATAACAGCCGTTATGATTCCTGAGTGTCCCGAGCCCAAAAGCCGCATTCGGTGTGAATCCGGTCAGAACCGCTCCGGTTTGCTGCGCGAGATCCGGACCGCTGTCAGGAGCGAGCCGTTCACCGAGCGCTATGACGTCATCCCCGGCAAAGAGCTGGGCAGGTGAGGCGCACCTTTACCTGTGTGTGTGTGTGTGTGTGTGTGTGTCAGCTGTACCACGCGTTTTTATGTCTTATTTATCTCATGCATGTGCTTCATATGCGTTGTGTGTATGTGCCGTGCACTCTGAATCGGTTTGGAAGTCTTGCCATAGGTTTAGTCTTTTAATAAGTGCTGTGGTCAAAGTAAAGCATGCTTAGTAAATGTTTTGGCATGTTATATCCTACTTGTATTAAAGTCTGGGTTTTTGTATGTGCATTGAACATTTTTACATTCCAGGTTCCCTGTGCGTTATTATATGGATCTGCATTCTTATATATGGATATTGTATGCATTTATTGCTTGCAGTTCAATACATGTGCAGTATTTAGTCATGCATCACAGTATTTTGAACATCTGCACTGCTTCAGAGTGTAATTCGGCATTGCTTTGTCATTTAGATGGCTTTCATTGATGCATTTTATCAAGATAATGTGTAAAAAGTAATGAAAACCCTTTACTGATTCAGTTGTTAATGAAAATAAATATATTGTAATTAATAATGTTCATAAATACATATCAGCCTAATTTTCTGATCTCCATCTGTTCTATATGAACAGACTTCGCTTTTCCCCAAATCGTTGTGGATAGTGCATGCATTTATCGCTTACACTATTATATGGATCTGCATTCTTATATATGGATATTGTATGCATTTATTGCTTGCAGTTCAATACATGTGCAGTATTTAGTCATGCATCACAGTATTTTGAACATCTGCACTGCTTCAGTGTGTAATTCGGCATTGCTTTGTCATTTAGATGGCTTTCATTGATGCATTTTATATGGATCAGTTCAAGATAATGTGTAAAAAGTAATGAAAACCCTTTACTGATTCAGTTGTTAATGAAAATAAATATATTGTAATTAATAATGTTCATAAATACATATCAGCCTAATTTTCTGATCTCCATCTGTTCTATATGAACAGACTTCGCTTTTCCCCAAATCGTTGTGGATAGTGCATGCATTTATCGCTTACACTGCGTACAGTTCAGTCAGTTTAAGTCATGCATCACAGTTTTTAACATCTACACTGCTTTAAAGTGTGATTTGGCATTGCTTTGTCTTTTAGATGGCTTTCAGATACATGGATCTGCACATTTAATGAAACACAATAAACGTTTGCATGCAGTGCATTAAAGCTGGATCACATGATTGGAAAACAGAGCCGTTTGATGACACACTGCGTTGATGCCAGGGCTCAGTGGTTTTTAAATCAACGAGCCTTTGCCAAGCCTCTGTAGGACTTGAGCACTATGAAAACACTGCTCTGATTTCACTGCGCTTACTCTTGTTTGTACCGAGGATATGCAGTGCACGCACAAAAAGATTTGGGCTTGTGTAGCATTTTACGCCTGTGCAAAACTAGCAGAAAAGTCACTTTTATGTGTCCAATATCAACAAAGTGCTGGTTGAGATGAATAGGGACATTTAGCTTTTGCATGATGGACCAAAGTTTGAACTCCAGTTGAACACTTGTAAAGTACAAGTTACAATAGAGTGTCTTTTTTTGAATGGTTTATTTTCTGACAGCCCGCACGGCTGTATTAGTCACAAGACAAACTCTCAGACATGTAATATCAGCAGGCTATCTGATCCGTTTGTTTGCAAAACACATCAGGATTAATGGGCAGAGGTTTGAAAGTGCAACTATCTGGATGTTTGCCACCGCCGTTTAGACCGAGCCATTTCATCTGAGTACAATAAAGCAAGAGAAAAGACAAATCGGTGACTAGTTCATGTCCAGCATGTCTCAGCCTGTTTCCCAAAGGTGAACTTGAGTGGCTCAGGATTTCAGGGATGTGATTGGCTGCTCCAGCTGGTTTTATTTTGATGCCTGTGCTTGTGGAGACGAGCCATTTTCAGTCTTCAGTGAGCGATTTCAGTGAGTTATGATTCTGATTTCCATTCTGAGAATCACATTAGCCTAGATATTGCCATTTATAGTCTAGTTAGCCCAAGTATATGTAGTCTTATTTCTCACAAGAGTCAAGACTATTGGTATTTGATTATCTCTGACCGTTTCAAGAGTAGTTTTATTTAGACCAGATGTTTGTTTAGAGTATTTTTTTTGTTAGAAATTGCACATGGCAAATATTTGCGTCCGTTAATTTAATGTAGCACAATGCTGGAAATGGTCTAGATTACAGAATGGACTAACAGGTTTAGACTGACAGGTTTTAAGAGTGGCAAAAATGTTGAACTTGTAAAGAGCTACAGGCATCATTCATAAAACCTCACATAAGTGAGGAACGAATCAGGATTAGTAAAGGCAGAGACTCCTAATGATTATTTTTTATAACAGATTTGGAGAAATGTAGCACTGCATCAGTGTCTCAGCAACGGATGAGAAACAAACTCATCTACATCTTGAATGGCTTAAGGGTGAGTAGATTTTCATCAGGTTTTAATTTTTGGGTGAACGATTGCTTTAAAGATGTGTCTCGGTGTATGAGGTGAAATCGGAGCAGTGCTGTGTGATGCTCAAATGTGGATAATTGCAGGGCCGCCACACTGCATTCCTTAGCCACTGTGCTTTGTGAACACCCAGTCCTGACGGATCAGAACCAGTACTCTACCATTGTGTGTGGACGGCAGCCAAACGCTTTAGATCAACAAATGTCTTTGCCTTGCGTGTATGGGAACACATTCTGCACGCTGCAGATTAGGCCTGAGATATTTGATGGGAAGAGTGCCGTGTAAAATGAGAAGTGTAATTTTTCAAACATTTGGACTACATTTTATCTTCTTGCATCTAATGCCAAGTTTCTTAATGCCGTGTCACAGATCTGGTAATGGCAGCGTGCCATTTACAGTTCTGCTGGTGTTAAAAAGTAAAGATGTAATTTAAAACCCTATATTTATAAACTGAAATGCATGCCACTTATGCATTTTACAATAAAGATTTAAAGTAATAGTTCACCAAGAAATGAAATTTAGCTGAAAATGTCCTCTCCCTCAAGCCTTTCAAGATGTAGATGAGTTTGTTTCTTCATCAGGTTTGTAGAAATGTAGCATTGCATCAGTGTCTCAGCAATGGATGCTCTGCAGTGAATGGGTGCCGTCAGAATGAGAGTCCAAACAGCTGATAAAAACATCACAATAATCCACAAGTAATCCACAGCACTCCAGTCCATCAGTTAACATCTGGAGAAGAGAAACAAATCTATCAAGACGTTTTTAATCACAAACCGTTGCTTCTGGCCAAAATGTGAGTCTATAATAACACGTTTCTCCTGTACACTGTTACATATTTTTCTCCTGATTCAGATTGTGATGTTTTTATCAGCTGTTTGGACTCTCATTCTGACGGCACCCATTCACTGCAGAGCATCCATTGCTGAGACACTGATGCAATGCTACATTTCTACAAATCTGATGAAGAAACAAACTCATCTACATCTGGGATGACTTGAGGATGAGAACATTATCAGCAAATAAAGGCAGAATTTGCTTAAAAATGAAAATTGCTCTGAATGTTTGTTTGATCACACTTTTTCCACAGTTCAGCTTCAGTACTGAGCTCTGTGAACCCTTGTTGTTTTTTAATTAAGCTCGTACATTTGGGAGGGATGTGTTTGCAGCGTAAATATGGCTGACACCATAGTCTCACTGTTGTCTTAAACAGCATGTCATCAGCTGGGAATTTCTCACCCTTCTTTCATCAATCTTAGGGGTTTCTTTCCTTTCTGGGTGAGTTCCGCTGCTTGATTGACAGATCTGTGCAGCGTGATTTATATATTTTTTTCCCTTTGTATTTCCCATCACTTTTCCGCTGTCTTTCCCAGAGAATTCCGGCTCTAACAGCCGAGTGGGATACCATGACATCATTGTCGTGCCATTCAAGTGGTACGGGGCTAAAAGCCCAGTGGCAACATCTGCTGTGCACCATGGAAACAGAGCGGGTGACGGCGATGTCATGTGAAAGCCAAGTTTGTTATTGAAGCCCTTTTAGTGCTTGAGTGTCAGAAAGAGGCAGTGATGATCTGGGCCAAGAGTGTTCGTGTAAATTTGTCTAAATATGTCATTTTAACCAACCGCCGCCACATCAACAACTTTTTTTGCAAACTTTTTAGAGTAGAACAAAGCACTGAAGTATTCAACTTTGACATTATTGATGTCAAATTGTGCAGCTTGTGCTACTACCAACAAATGTATAGAAATGTATCTTTTAAAAAAAATGGTGAGTTTTTCACAGAATTTTGCATAATTTTTTTTTTTTTTTCAAAAAAGGAATATATATAATATGTGTATGTACACACTACCATTCAAACGTTTGGGATCAGTAAGATTTTTTTAT